TAACGTCAATAACGTCAATAACGTCAATAACGTCAATAACGTCAATAACGTCAATAACGTCAATAACGTCAATAACGTCAATAACGATAAGCAGCATCAATAAACACCACCAATAAACATTACCAATAAACATCACCAATAAACATTATTAATAAACACTTCATCAATAAGCACTGTCAATCAACCAACACCAACACTATCAATAAACGTCAAGACAAATCTAAAATTCACACACATTATAGATGCCAATACATATCGATATATAAAGCAAATCATTGTATTTTTATTGTACAAAGCATCAATCAAAGATAAGGAAAATTCCAAAAAATCGTGATCATAAGAGAAAATCATTTCTTGATAGTTTCTTTGTTTGGTAAAAATCACGTCTTTAATCAATAAATTAGGTCAATACGTAGCATAATGTATAACTAAAAAAATTATTATCAGTTGTACAATTATAGTTATGTCTAATTATAAATTTATCAGATTATAGATAAATGAAATATATATATCGAAATATATATATATGTATATATATATACACTATATATATATATATATATATATGTATGTATGGGAGATATATTTAAAATATATATATATATATATATATATATATATATAGGATGTATATTAGATACAGTACGTATTAGATTACCTATCCGATTACAGTATCAGATTACAATACTGGATATTGCTACGTACTGTACGTAGCATTGAGACGATAAAATTTAGTAAGTAGAAAAATATTACGCGTTGTACGTATGAAAAATAATGGGAAGAAAAAAATATACACAGAATAATTTTACCAATCATAGTTAGAAGTTAGTATAAAATAATCGTAAAGATATCAATTGTAAACGTGTTAGAAAAAAAAGATCATTAAAAAGAAAAACAGAAAAGGTAAATAAATTAAGACAATCTGCAAGAACTCCGTGTTCCGTATTTCCATCAATAAATACAATAAATAAACCCTGCGTAGATGTTGATGCATTTTTTTGGATATGAAAATATTAAAAAGTAGTATTCTATTACTCGCGCCTAGATACCTTACATAGCGCACCAAATCAGAATACATTAAAATACATACGTAAGTGGTTAATTACCAAAATTGTTGATTTAGAGTAACATCAATACTGTAGTTCGAATTTCTTCTGGTTCCATTTGTTGGCGTTCAAATACCTGATTTTAACATGATTTTAAACTCTAAATTTATGAAAATAAAAATTGAGAAATTGAATTTGTATATACGTACGTATCAGATATCTATATCAAATGTAGATATCAATATAGATATCAATACGTATGATTTTATCAATATTGATAATGGGTGTAGTAATACATAGTATATAGTAATAGATATAATAATGTAATATATAGATAATAATGTAATATATAGATAATACGTAATGTAACAGATAAGCAATACGTATACGTAGTAATACGTATAATATCTATAGATAGTAATAGATATAGTAATAATAAAATAATAATAATAATATATATATAGAAATAATACAATAGTACGTAATGTAATTGATACGTATATATGGTAATTTTTTTTTAAAAAAAAAATAGATAACTCGCGTCTTAATGCCAAGATGTTAAAACCATTGTTTCATTTAATTGCTGTTTGTAGTAATTTAATTTTTTAATGCATCAGATTATATGCCAAATAAATTAATAATGATATGCATGAAATAAGGTCTAACATATATTGGTAGATAATCATTCGCAGAGTAACAATGATCTATAGTTCACCAAGAGTTTATCGCATGATCAAAAAGATATCGCATGACTTTTATCTTATAGGTGTCAAAAAGTTGGATAACCCAAATGACACTGCGACAAATAAATTTGCAGATCAAAAAATCACAGGTATATCATAGGTAAATAACTATTATTATCATTGTTATTATTACTACATAAACAAAGAAGCAACTTCGAAACAAGTAATTTGGCGCTAATTTGAGCTTTGTCTCACAGCCAAAGTTCAAGAATATTCTTTACAATGTTTTAATATCAATGTTTTAATATCAATGTTATAATATCGATGTTTGTACGTATCAACGCTATAATATTAATGTTGTAATATCAATGTTGTATTATACTATACGTATTTCAAATGATTATTATTAAATTATCACGGTAACGTTTAATGATAACGTTATCACGATAACGTTATCAGTTATAGTTATAATGTTACGTAAGTTACAACATAACAGAATAACATAACAGAATAACATAACAGAATAACATAACAGAATAACATAACAGAATAACATAGCAGAATAACATAACAGAATAGCATAAGCAGAATAGCATAAGCAGAACAACAGAGATAACAGAAAATTATTCATTAAAAATACATATAGCGGATAGTAGTACGTAGAGAGCACAATCATATAACAAATGCAATAAATATTTAGAATGAACGTACTCTCACGAATAAATGATTTTTCCACGTTAACAAAAAAAAAATAACGAAAAAATTTCATGGTACCAAATTATTCAAACACGATTTGTAACGATTCCTGGTAATTTAATTGCTAATGCATGGTTTATCCGACTTTGTTATATAAAAAAAAAAAAGTTGATTGATTGGTCAAATTTTAATTTTTATAATTTATTTTATTTTTTTATAATTTATTTTATTTTTTTATAATTTATTTTATTTTTTATAATTTATAATTTATTTTAATAAATTTTTATTGTAGATACAGTAAATAAATTCCTGATACGTCTATTATATTCAAAAAAAAAATCCTACCTTTATTATATATATATGCGGTAAATTGATATTGTAAAACAATTGATTAGATATAATCGCAGTACTTTATTTAGCCTATTAGCCGCTGCTTTACTAATCATTCAATCGTTTATAGGGCCTTTCAGTCCGACAATCAAAAAAAAGATTTTATATAAAGATACCATCTTATTTCTCCTCAATGTTTTTTTTTTAACTGTTTTTTCTCTAAAGAATTCTTTTCATTAATTAAGGAAATCTCTTAAGAATTTTCGTTTAAATAAAAAATTGTTTCTAAAGAAACTTTCTTACAAGAATCAATTCACAATTCCAATTCTAGAAATTTTTTGAGAAAAACGGTTATAATTATATAAACTTACGAGAAATATTTTGATCTTCCTTTACATTTTTTTCCTTTTTACTCCTTTTTATTCCTTTTTATATATTTGTTTTTTTCCTTACATTTTTTTACTTTTTTCTTATTTTTTTTTTTACTTTTTTTTTTTTTTTTTACATTTTCGGTAAATTAATAAACCAAAAAAATTATTTTATTTTTTTCTCTTCAAGTTTACAGTATATAGAATGACAAATAATAGTTCTTTTGTGTCATCAATGATGTCTCCACCACCTTCACCAAAAAAGAGTGCAGATGTTAATACTTTAGGGAAGCCACCACTTTCACGTGCAATTAACACGTTACTAAATGAAACAACACCAAAATCTAAAGAACTAGTTGAGAAAGCAATTAAACCCAAGAGTAGATTTCGAATGTTTATATGTGAAGCACCACCAGAACTTTTAGAATTAATAAAACGATCAGAAATTCAAAAATCTACAAATATTGCAAATATTGCAAATATTGCAAATACTGCAAATATTGCAAATACTGCAAATATTGCAAATATCACAAGTATTGCAAATACTGCAAATATTGCAAATATCACAAGTATTGCAAATATCGCGAGTATTGCAAATTCTACAAATAATTCTACAGATATTGTAAAAAACAAGCCAATTAACACAATTAACGCAATTAACGTTAACGTTAACGTTAACCATCAAAACGGGCACATGACAGATGATAATCACATGACTAAGTTCCATAAAAATCATACAATTAATAAAATTCGAAAAATTCGCAAAAATCCATACCCAATAAAATCACCAACAAAATCATCACCAGGAATTACATTCAAACTTGATGTATTTACACCTTTTAAAGAAGATCCTATGGCACTTTTACATATAAATAAACCATATCAAACATTAACATCAGAATGCAGTACACCTTCATTAACATCTATTACATCATCACCCGAATCAACACCACCATCAAGTCCTAGACCTACACAACAAAATATGGATAAGAAACAACAAGGTAAACGACAAACAAAAACTAAACGATATAATGTAACATCAGTAGAAAGAAAAAGAAAGAGTAATAGCCTTGCAAGAGTTATGGCAGATAGAGGACTTTTGGATACATCATTCAATACAGTTACATCAGGAGAAATAAAAACGATCAGACTTCCACCACCACCACCAATGGAATGGGAACAATTAATAGAAAATATTAATGAAATGAGATTAGATAATAATATATTAAATAATATCACCCCAAAAATTAGTTGGAAAGGACAACCACTTACGATTTCACATTTACCACATTTCAATACTTTACATAATAAAGAAGTAGAAGTAGCATCTACCTTACGACTTACTCCAGTACAATATTTAACAGCAAAACATACTTTGGTCTCGGCTGCTCAACGTTATTTTCAAAAGTCTCTTCCTTTTCGAAAAAGTGATGCTCAAAAATTATTGAGAATTGATGTAAATAAAGCTAGCAAACTTTGGGAATTCTTTCAACAAGTTAAATGGATTTAATACATACATACCTGATACATCGTACGTAATACGTATAATTTAAAAATATATTTAAATATATTTATATAGTTTAATTATTAAATTTCTTAAATTTATTAAATTTATTAAAATTGAGTAAAATTATTTAAAATTATTAAAATTATTAAAATTATTAAAATTATTAAAATTGATCATAAAAAAAGTACGTATATACATATATAAATATATTTATTTATATTTATATATAAAATATAAAAAAAAGAATTATAAAGTTTTATTAGATATTAAATTACGATTTTATTTACTATAAAGAAAATTCACCATACGTATCTTTAAGCAAAATACACTTATTTTGTAAATATATACTTTATAAATCATCTTCTATAGACTTTATTTTTTCTTCTTTTTCTTTAACCCTTATTAAAAAAAACACCAATATACCTAAATTACCAAATCACTCTTTTGTACAGGTTATAACCACAAAGGTGTATGAGATTTAAGAGATTTATTATTTTTTTTTATATAAAAAAATCTTTAATTCTTAGATTCTTTTAATGTTTAAGAAAAAAAAAAATATTTTTTTTACCATGCGTTAGACTAATTAGAATAATAAAACAACTATATAGAATGATTAGAATAATTAAACCAATTAGAATGATTAGAACGATTAGAATAATTAAAGCATTTAGAATAATTAGAATAATTAGAGTAATTAGAATAATTAGAATAATTAGAATAATTAGAATAATTAGAATAATTAGAATAATTAGAATAATTAGAATAATT